AAAAAAAAAAAAAAAAAAAAAAAAAAAAAGAATGCCTACTGGATGGAACATGTTGGGAGAGATATTTTTCACCAGGGAAGCTTTGCTTTTAAGGGTTTCTTATATCCTTCAGGACTTTATCTTCCCTGTCCCCTCATAGCTTGCTAAGAAATAAAATACGTGGAATAATCTCATTATTCTTCCCTACACAAGTGACTCATATATCTCATGGACATTTGTAAAATGGTCCACTGCTTAACCTGGAAGCATAAGATGTCATAGCTAGTTGTGAATATTTGATATTGTAAAATCTAAAATTGAGAACATGCCAGTGAATGCAGATTTCTCATATACCTTTTCTATTTTGTTCATCATCTTCTTTTCTTTCATTTTTCTCCTTTCTTAACCTGGATGGTATGTAGGATTTTGGAAGGTCAGGTATATTAGCATAGATGTCCTCAATTGACTCTGTAAAATTAATATGAATTCAAAATATATTTAGAATATATTTAAAGCAATGAGAAAAATTTCAGTGGGCTTATCAAAAATATCTTGGACATAAAATAGGCTGCTCAAAACATACCTTGTAATGTTTCTTCCTTTTCTGCCTTTACAGACTGCAAGAAGAAAGCATTCTCCATGACTAATACAGTTTGAAAAAATAAAACCTAAGTGTAAATATACTTTCAAGAATTATATAGTATTTGTGGATTCATTTTTTTGGGGAATTATAGTTTTGTAATGCTTACTCTTATTATGTCTTCTGTTGTCCTCTCAATTGATTTTAATTTCTTCAAAATTGCTTCTTCATTGGTTGAGATTTGCAGTTCAGCTTTTTCAAGATCTTGAATCTCTTTCTCAAGCCTGACAACAAAAAGATACTCTTTTTATTGCTCAACACAGTAGAAATGCAGGGTTCTCAAACATATCTTCCCCATATGCAAACTTTTCTTGCAATATCGCATGGAAGTAGCTGGACGCTTTCTAGAACCTATTGTCACACTTAGCATCACACCAAGCCTTACGATTAATACACAGAAGGTACCTAACACCTGACTTCGAAGGATTTTCAATACAAGTGTTTTTTTCTTGACAAAGGGACCTTTTAGGAAAAGCTTTTGACCTTTGTTCCATTTTCTTCATTGCAATTGCTAATGTTACTTCCAAATAAAAAGAGCTATTTCTTTTATAAAGAGATTTAAGTTTAAAACTGAACAAAAAGGAATGGTGCATTTGTAGTTATTATGTAGTTCACCAATTTTTCTTAACCAAGTCTCCATATAAATTATTTGGAGAAAACATGATAATGATTAAAATTGATTTAATAGTCATAGCTATTTAATGCTTAAAAACACTGATTATTTTAGCATTGAAAATAACACTTTGTTTTAATTTCACAGTTTCTGTAGTTCACCAATTTTTCTTAACCAAGTCTCCATATAAATTATTTGGAGAAAACATGATAATTATTAAAATTGATTTAATAGTCATAGCTATTTAATGCTTAAAAACACTGATTATTTTAGCATTGAAAATGACTTTGTTTTAATTTCACAGTTTCCTAAGAGTTGTGCCATATTATAGTGGGTAGGGTGAAGAAATGGGGAAATGGACAAAACGTAGTACAGTGGCCTCAACTGCTGCTGTTTATAGAGATTACATTTTTTGGAAAAAACAATGGGTACAATGACCTGACAAAGTATAAGGGACAAAGAGATACTTGAAATTGGATTGCTGCAAACACTTTGAACTGGTACCTTTGCCAGCATGCGAAGGCATGTCAGGTTCAAATGAACTCCAGGGGACAGCATCGTGACCTCCACTCTGTATAAAAACACAGGGCCACTGGCAATCACGCAGTTAGTAAGGCTGGCCCTTGGCGGCCATGAAACACATGTGGTTTCTCAGCCAAATACGCTAAGCTCTAAAGTCAGCTGCTCAGAGGATGGCTGATCAGATACAGCAGCTGGTCCAGGAGATGACAGCTGTAGATATTCGTGTCAGCTAAAATAACTGTCAGTTTTCTTGGCTTTGTTCTTGAAAATGGTTATAGGCCTGGGAGCTCGAAAATCCTGTGCTATTCTCACACCAATAATAGCCCAAGATGTGGTCTACTTGACCATTGTCCTTCTCACTGCTTCAGTTTCAAAGTTCCAACCTTTCTGCTGCCTCTGGCCATTGGTAGGTGGCCATTTATAGCCGGGCAGGTTTTCCTGCACAGAACTTCACAGTCAAATGTAGCACCCCTGGTTTCTTAGAAGTTACTAAAGTACGACTGCCATTCTATTAAAATTCCTTCCCATCCATGGTAGTGCATTTGCCAGTCAGTAGAGCTGTGGGGATACATGTTGGTCCAGTTTGGGAGAGTGGAAAGCTCTGTATTAAAAATGATAGATCTGGATTCTGTTCTGTCTCTGGCACTCACTACTTATGAGAATCAATTCACTTAACTTCTCTGAAACTCAGTTTTGTAATGTGCATAATAAAAATAATAGTACCTGTGTTACTTTATACAGATATTTGGTGAAGCTAAGAAGAGATGATATGCTTGAAAGCACATTGAATATGGTTGATATCAGAGGCAAGTGTATTATGGTATGATTCTTAAAGGTTTTCTGCAACACATTGCGCCTCTTTCTCCTTTCATCTCCTGTTCCACAGCATACTTTACTGAATATGCATGTTAGAGATAGTCTGCTTTTTGGTGGAAAACAAGGAGGCTTGGATAATTGCTGCAAGAAGCTCTTGGACCTCAGGATCCAGCTGTGGAATCAGGTAGACCTGGGTTTGAATCCTGGTTCATCTGCTGACTTCCTGTGTGACCTTAGACAAGTCACCAGCCCTCACTAAGACTCACCGTCTTCATTCATTAATTCATCAGTTTGCAAATATTTATTTAGCATCTATTTTGTACCAGTCACTATTCTATGTGTTGGGTATATAATACTGAATAAAACAAAGTCCCTGCCCTCAAGGAGTTTATATTCTAGTGGGAGACAATACACTCATACAGGGGTTGGCAACCTTTTCCTGTAAAGAGCCAGATAACTAAATATTTTAGGGTTTCATATATGGTTTCTGTTGCATATTCATCTTTTTTTTCTCTTTTTCTTCCTTTTACAGCCATTTAATAATATGAAAACAGTTCTTAGCTTATGTCTATACAGAAACAGGCCAGGGCTAGATTTCATCCTGAGCCATAGTTTGCCAACACACATGTATATATGTATACACACAATATACATATTTATTTATGAAGAAAAACATTTTCCACTAAAAAAAGCAGGATAAGGACTATAAACACCAAGATAAGGGGGGATAAAGAGAGGCCAGGAAGGAGGTACTATTTTACATAGTGTGGTCGAGGAAGGTCTCTGCTAGTGTCATTTGAGCAGAGACATGAAGGAAATGAGGGCAGGGCACATGAGGGCTTCAGGGAAGTGTGCTCCAGAGAGAAGAAAAATAACTAAAAAGCTTAAAGTAAGAGCAGAGGGAGAAAGGAGGTGAGTGGTGAGAAGTGAAGTCAGACAGGTGGCAGGTGGCCAGATCATACAAGGCTTTGTGCATGGGAGGCCCTTTGGGAAGCCACTGGGAGTTTGAGCAGAGAAGAAACATGCTGTGACTTGAAATTTAAGCAATTACATTGGCTGCTATGTTGAGAATAGACTGGAGGGGGCAAACATGGAGGTCAGTTGTCATAATATCCAGATGAAGACAGCTTAATCCAGGATGGTTGGTGGTAGAAAAGTGAGAAGTGGTTGGATTCTGGAAATATTTAAAAGGAAGAACTGCCAGAATTTGTTGAGGGATTACATGTGGCATGTGAGAGAAAGAGAGATGTCAAGGGTGATTCCAATGTTTGTGACCTGAATAATTGTAAACATGTGAATACAGTTGGCTGAAGAGAAGCCTGGGAGAGAGAAAAAAGGAGATTGGTGGGCGATATGTTAAATTATAGGTAGTCAAGTGTGATATGGAGAGGACAGCTGGATATAAAAATCTGGTGCTCAGAGAAGTCTGGGTTTGAACATGCAAATTTGGGAGTTGGTATGTACAGCTGTAGGAGTGGATAAGATTTCCTAGAAAGTAAAGGAGATAATTCCAAGGACTGAACTTTGGTCAATTCAACAGATAGAGGTCTTGTCAATGTTAACTACTTCATAGGGTTTTAATAAGGAATGAGAGAAATAGTGAGCACTAAGCAAATGTTAGTTTCTTTCTGTCTCTACCCCTTTCTATTCCTGGGACACAGAGATAGAGTTCTTGATTGGCCCACCCAATGGCATCTCAGGGAGTTATGAAATGCACTGGTATTTGTGGTTGTTTCCCTCTGAAGATGCAATGTAATGCCATATGATTCCATGAATATCCTTAATATGGTAAGAATATGAAGTTGAAAGCCTGCTAACCTCATCAATGTATCTGCTAATGAATGTTTTTGAAGTTTCAAGTCACAGGGTGAAAGTAGCCTCAATATGAGGTTACAGTCTAATGACACATCATGACATGTTGGTGAAAACTAAACATTAACAGACACCTCCCTTCCACTCTTTATCACTTAGTTGCAGCCAACTCTCAGTTAAAAAGGACAATAAGGACACCTTTTGGTGCTAATTACTCAGAATCACAAACTTCTGGCAGGAGATGCTTACTGATGCAGAGCATTTCTTTTTTTTTTTTAAATTTTTTTCCTTTTTGTCTTTTTTCGTGTCCGGCAATGGATCGCAACCCTCAGTGTCGTGC